CACCATCAGTGTAACAACATACCGTCCTACCTGTGATCTAGACTGAGATCTGAGCCACATTGTTGCACATTAGTTGTAACAGATGTTTGTCTGACTTGTCATCTCTCTTAAAGTAATATGTCGTAAATCTATCCTTCAAATATATCTTGAGATACATAGATGGCATTCTTACATTTGAGGCCACATGTACTTGATCCTGTGGACAAGGAATCTACACTTGCTTAGTAGCTTATCTTGGATAAAAGAATGTAGGCCAGACGAGGGGCTGGTTTAAAGTATCCATCACTAAACTCACACTCTGCTTTCCGTAGACTTACCTAGCTTTTCGTATGCACATTGGTACCTTTCCGGCGTACACACGGGTACATGTTCACCTGCACGGAGGACAACAACTCATGATGAAAATTCGACAAAATAGACTTAGTCGCTGAAAGGAATATACAGGCAGAAAAATGAAGATAAAATCCCATGGAAAATAGAAAGTGCGACAAAATAGACTTAGTCGCTAAAAGGGATATACAGGCAGAAAAATGAAGATAAAATCCCATGGAAAATAGAAAGTGAGAATTAACTAGAAAGTTTGACATTTGCTCGGGAGCAAATACAGCATGTTTCAGTCCATTTAATCCCCATGTAGATTTTTCAGTAGCAAATATTCTCAAAAAAACTTAATATTGAGATTTTCAGTGAAAGTGTTAATCATGTCATTTGGTTTTTAAGATTTTAACAGCACCGTAGCCAAAAATGTACATTTTTGTCTTAAATTATAAAAAAAGTAATACCATTTTACAAAATTTTAGGTGATGTATGCCAACATGTGAATAATGTCTGGGGGAATTTGGCCACTCTACCTTCATGCTAAGCTTCATGTCATTTTGCCAAAAAAATGAAGAAATTGAATCCATTTTACGGAAATGGCAGGAGGAGGAAAAGGAGAAGAAACACGAGGTAAAACAATACATTTCAGCCATACCATGACTGAAATATAATTAAAATATCCTGCTTACCTGGCATTTCAACGAGACGACACCCGCACTCATGTACGACGTGTTCGGTTTCACACTCTATCCGGCACGCCGACAGCGAATAATCTGGGTAGTACTTCTGGCCACCCCTTTGCTGACAGTTGCCGTATGGTGCTGGGAGCGTCGTTATCTGTAAAAAAATAATAATCAAGTGACGTAAAAAAAGACCAGTATTCAGACTTGCTACAAAAAGAGCAAAATACATTATTCTGGATTGTACGCGCAACAAAGTATTAAAGTAGACACAATGTAATGATCCTACTACTTCTACTTCTACTACTGCTACTACTACTACTAATACTACTACTACTACTACTACTCCTACTACTAATACTACTACAACACGTTTTACTACTATGTACATGTACTACTCCTATACTAATACTCCTACTACTACTACTCCTGCTACTAGTGCTTCTACTACTTCTACTACTACTACTACTACTTTTACTACTACTACTAATACTAATACTAGTACTCACCACTTCTTTCCTGATTGCCACGAACGTGTGAAACCCTGGTGATACCGCAAAGCCTAACTCTTTAACAAATGGCGGTTCATGTTGGGGATGAACCATGACCTTTATCCCGGCATCCATTGCGTCTCCGGCGACGTCATTGGTTGCCATGTACTCGTCATTCTCGATGTTGATGGTCACTTTAAGTCCATTGCCTACAAACGAATTTCATTGGATAAACACCAGTTTAGTAGCTGTTTCTTTTTGTTAAGTCTACTAGTACATTATTTAACAATATATAATCTATTCATAAAGGGTTAGTGCCCCACCCCGAAATGTAAATGCTGTGATTTAATTGTGTTTTAATTGTGTCGTATTCTCAAGTAAATTATTCAAAATAAACAATGGGAAATGGAGGCTTCTCATTGGTCGACCTCGCCCGGCTTATTTTTTATTTTACTTTGCAGGGAAATTTGTCTTTTCCCTCAGTTTTAATATATATAGCAATTAAGCTAACGCTGTATACTGGTAAAAATGTGCTTTGTTTCAAATGTACAAGATTTTGGGGTAGAGCCTGTAATGACTTGCTTGTGTGGAATGAATTTGTACGAGTACATTCGAGTACAACAATCGAAGTGGACCGTACAACAATCGAAGTGGAAAGTAGGAACGAATTGTAGGGGTTAGTGTTTCCAAAACATCTGTCTATGGCAATATGTAAGTCTGGCGCCATCAGAGTGAGACCAATGCCGTTCTTTTTATGAAGACGAATTGGTTGAACGGTTGGCGTACGGCCCAAATGTTGGCCTCAATGCACCTGAGTGGGACGAGTCCGAATATTGTCAATAAAGAGTAACGCTAAACTGTAAGCAGAAAGCAGTGGATGAAATATTTCTTAATAGAAAGTTGACACATCTTACTTGTGCTATCCTTCAATTAATGGGATGGATTCAGTCTTTAGTGGGTGCCACAGATGAAACCAAATGAACCAAACAAGGAAATTTCAAGAAGATTTCCTTGGGCCCATTCCAAGTCAGTATGGGGAAACTAAAATTTCCCATATATTATAATACATATCTCTTTAGTTCACCTGTCTATGTTCATATCACTCGAAAGGATAGAATGTCAGGTGTGGTAGTGGATCCCTCTGAATATAAGAATGTAAGCCATAGAGTTATCATATTATTACACAATAAGGTCAATAATGCGATTTAATACCCAAATTACAATCTGACGTGGGCCATGTGAAATGTTTATACTTTCGATATCCTTGTCAACTTTTGGAAAGGACTTGTATTCATAGTTTTTTGCACAGGTTACCCCATTTGGTCAATTGACGACGCCATGTTTATTTGTGACGTCATGTGTCGGCCATCTTGAAAAAAATCAGCTGACCATCTACATGTTTTAGGAGGTGAAGAATTATGAGTGGAAACAAGCTATAATACATTATTGTGGGCACATAAAGCTACACATAAAACCAGAAAAGAACTACTTTACCTTCCCCTGGTTTGCTAGAAGAAAGCACTTTCCTTGAGAGAGTCATTCCGTTAAATGTGTAGCAGTTGCCGAGATGCGTGAAGGTGTGGGTGAAATTTTTTGCCGAGCATCTAGAAAAAATGATAGGAGCATATGAAGCATATGTTAGTTTTGGAGAATTCCAAACAATATCATCAACCAATGTGACATTATCCTTAGCCTTTTCCTTAACTTGTCTTGTCTTTACTACCCTCTGTCACTCATGCACACTTTACACAGTACGGTGGCCAGTAACTCAGGTAACAAGCAAAGACAAGGGTACATAAGTAAAAAAATCACTAATCTTCCAGGGCTCAAACACATACATTGGTTTAAAATGACCTAATCGCTTGGCACAAAAAATGTACTGTAAATACATTTATAAAGACATACTTGCATCACAAATAAAAATAAACAACAAAGATACTTACGGGCTTCCTCTCCATTCGCAGTTGACAATCATGTCCTCCTTTTGATGGCCGACTCGCTCCACGAAAACCGCAAAGTTTTGTTGACCAGTCGTCATCTTAGACAGCGCCTTTAAATTCTCGTTCTTGACCTTGTCCACCCAAGCCTTGGGATATAAGTGTTCCTGCTGTAGCGTGAATTGTTGCCGATCCACTATCCCTGAAAGTGCGAAGAACAAAATCCATTATGATGAGGAAGTTCTCCATGTCAGAACATTTTACCTCCATGAAAAATGGAGGTATTGTTTTGGTGTGTGTATGTGTGAGTGTGTGTGTGTGTGTGTGTGTGTGTGTGTGTGTGTGTGTGTGTGTGTGTGTGTGTGTGTGTGTGTGTGTGTGTGTGTGTGTGTGTGTGT